TCGCACCCGTGCCCGTGTCGTGTGACGTTCGCTTGGATTGCGCTTACTAACTTAATTAGCATCTCGGGCTATTTTTCTAACGTTCGTCTTTCGGTGTTGGCGCTAATCTTTGTTTCCAAAATTATAATGCTCCGAAAAGTTTTCTCTCTCCTCACTGTTAAGTACAAAACAGGGCCCAGTTAAGACAAAAGACCCAAGGTATTATTGTTTAGAGGTTGAACAAAAGGCGTGAGAGCCAAGGAAGCAGCCAGCGCCGAAGTCGTTTCCTCTAAAGTGTAAATTGTTACGTTCTCCCAACGCGAATGCACTCTACCGTCACATTACATTTGAATTTATTGCGAGCCCTCGTGAAGAATCTTAATTCGGGTACGACGAAGGTAAGATTCCTCAAACAACTAGAAGATCTCATTCGAATCGGAATGAGCAATTTACCGAGGTTTTAACGGTGTAAGGGTCTCTGCTTTCTACGTCATCGTCGCTATGTTTGTATTAAAGCAGTGTTGCTTAAAATACTTATTTTTAGAATTGTGGTTTATTGAATGCAGTCGAGCACATGGAATTAACGTTTTCCTATGACGGACAGTAGGGTCTCCCGGCCTATGAGGGCAAACAAATTGTTCTTCTAAACGAGATACGCATACCCTCTATTTTTTCCATTTGACTCTAGCAACTCAAAAAAATGGATATTGCGATCGGGGAGCCATAACCGTGCCGACTGTTGGTCAAACTTTGAACTTGAAAGTTAAAACACGAGCGTAATGGTGTTGTCCATCCGACCACACACAGTCAATCATGGTCAGATGTTTTGTGCTTTTTGACAACACATCACCATCGCCTAGGCCTGGCCTCAGGACACGACAACGAACGAAAGCATAGCAACTAACCTCTACCTGAGGTATAAGATCTATCGGAACAAGACAGTATCGGGTGCCATCTATTTCCAGAATCGCAGTATATGCTGGCTTATTTTGACAGTTAGCACATTATATCGAAACAGTAGAAGAAGTCCAAGGAAAATTTATCCGTCAGACTAACCATTAAGTGGGCCAGAAAGTTGTTCTTTCGATGGGACGTAGCGTTGCCCGAGAGCTGGTGGACTTTCTTTGGCTAAATTAGCAACAATTTTTGCTTTAGTTTCATCATCTACGTCGTCGTCAAAGAGAGATAAGATAGAGACCTCATCTGCAAATATCTTAAATGTCGGCAGAACTTTTAGGAAGCTGCTTTAGAAATGGTTTTGTAATTTATTTCGTAAGCCTTCATTGCCTTTAAATCATAAGCCCTCGTTAGGTATTTTTACCTCTAAAGTATATTGCAACCACGGTTTCACTTATGTTGTCACGATGAAGAGGCAGATATCTAACAGAGCTGCCTTATTCTCATTAGAAAGTTTGAGCTGGGAACTTAGTAACGCTATGTTTAACGGATAGATTGCTATAGTATTAATGAAAGTTCTATTAACTCTCGATAGTCGTCTCTAGCAACGTCTTTAATCAATTCATATCGATAAAATTCTAGCAGTTTGTCAGTCTCTGAAATATTCAGGCATGATAGCTTTTCAGTATAAATCTGTATTTTCTCGGGATCCATACTTTTCCAGCTATCGTGAAACTTTTTAAACATTGGAATTTCAGGGCTTGCAGTCACTTGGTCGAACTTTGATGCAAACATGCCTTTCAACAGCGGCAAGCAAAAATAGGCGTTTCTTTATTAAGTTTCTGTTCGAGAAACACGCGGGCACCGTTAATGCGACCTGTATTTGAAGCAGTAGTATCACAACAGAGAATCTGAACTTCATCTTCAAGATTCCAGCCAACAATAGCATTCCAAACTGCCTGAGCCTGAGTTGTCCAATTTGGGTACATAGATAAGTTGCTCTTTCTTTTCATACGCTATAACAATAAGTACAGGTTATTCTTTAGACTTATCCATCCCAGTGGACAGTTACAGTATTCGGTACCTCGCTTTGGAAATCAAGCTTTTTAGCTTCTGCGCGGTCCTTTCGCTTTTCCGTTCGAATTCTTTGAATGGTGGACTTGCTTATAGGAAACTCGTCAGTGTTATGTTCAAGTGCCTCAATGGTTGCTTCAATAGTAAAAAAAAGCATTCCTCATACTTAACTCACACCTATATAAAGCTGCCAATCATTTTGGAGTTATGAGACCTTTCCTCACTTGAGTTTAATTAGTATTAAGCTGTGTGCTCTGAGTTGAGATGGGAGAAGTTTCTTGTAAATCTATTTCGGAATCTGAAGATGAATTTTTGTAAGAGGATAAGGGCATCGGCATGCGTAATATCAAACAGATTGTTCAAGTTTGTAACAAACTCTTGTCGACGCTGCTAAAACACCTCTTGTGTTGCTTGCATTTTTTCCAATTCTCTCCAGACTTGGTATAAGGTAACTAGTTTCTGAACACATAGGTACAGATTTAGTCGGTATACGTGCCTTTTCTTAGTAAATAATGCACTCACAAATAGTAAGGTTGGCGCTCTCATTGATACTTAATTTCCCTTCCGGATATTATAGAACAAAACAGCTAGTACGTGTCCTTTAGAGGGAAGTTTTGAACTTGTCATTTGATGCTTCACGTCCCCTAATAAAAATATTCCCTTTTTAGAAATGCATAATCCCTTCGACATGTTGTCTGGGAAACCAGCAAGAAGAATTGTTCATATCCCCTCTTCACTGACTGACAATCCCACACTGGAAAGCTTATATGCTGGGCTCACTATTTTATGAACATATTCCCCAATAAAGCTACTAACTTCCACCTGGTTGTGATTCTCAACTCGACAGGTCAGCCCATTGTCCTCAAATGCTCGGCCGCTCTAGCTGACTGGATATGGACATAATTTATAGGTTCTGTGAACAAAACAGTCTTGCTTCTTGCACTAACAATTTTTTTGGAGGCTACTTCGGTTCATCTACACAACCCCATAATTCTTTATGGTCTAAATAAGTTTTGACTGGGAATTTCCATGTGTCGAAATTCTCCCGACCTTTCAACTTTTCTATCTGAAAAATCGAATCTCTCGACATGTTCACTAATAAAAAAACATGAGAAGATTCTCCAAGTACAAACTTATTTCACAGACCCTAAATCAAATGAAAATATACTGGGCCCATACCCTGTTGGCAGGTAAGAGGGCCTTTGCCACGTTAACGGTATTTACGGATGAAGACAACTAGACTGGAAAATAATTATACTTGTTGGAAGAAAATATCACATTTCTATGTGTGAAATTGCTATTATTTTTTTTTTTTGATAAAGTAGCTAAATGATGTCTAAACAAGCTCGCAAAACCGCATCTCGATATTTTGCTCCTAACCTAAAATTGGACAAATCTGCAGCTTCAATTTTGGATCTCGGTAGGTTACTTATTGCATTACGAATACGTTTCTTCATATCTTCTCTGGTTGTAGGTTAGATCTGAAATACCATGTCCTTCAACCGTCCCCATAAATAAAAATCAAGACAAGGTAATCCACCGCTGAAATACTGCACAATAATAGCAAAATGTGCTGGACAAAAACAAAACTAATTTTGCCGTATCTCGTATATACCCATAGCGCATATGGATTTAAACATAAAATATGCCATTTATTACTAGCATTACTTACTTAGCTATTAGCGATATCTTGTAATATTTTCAAAAAGGGTGATTTTATTCTGAACAATAAAAAGGAATTCCAGACAGATTACTTTAAAAAATTGAAGTTTATGAGATTTCCGTATAAAACTTCCTTTGGCCTAAATTTTAGGTTAGGAATACGATATTGAGATGCAGTTTTCGCGAGCCTGTTAAGACATCATTTAGCTACTTTTTCATCAAAAAATCATACCAACCAATTTTTTTTTAGATAATCACCCATTTCTGTCGGAATGTCGAAGAAAGCCACATGTGAAACTAACAAAACTTTAGATGTACCATTTATAGCTCAAGAACAGCTCTTTTCAACTAGCCCCAGTTTTTTTATACTCCAACTACCACGAATGCCTAAGGCCTAAACACCCATGGGGTACCATGGGGCTATAGTGGGATACAAGGGAAAGGGGGAACGCTACACGGACTCTGGCGAGGGAACACGTGTGCATGCAACACGCACACATTCTGGCCCAGCCTACGGGATTCGCCGGGTGGTACTTCTGCGTTCGACAGTCAGAGACCGTCTACCAACTACGGACAATAACAAGATCCATAGTCAAGAGAAAAATTTCTCTTGGGACGGGATTCGAACCCGCACAGTGCACGGCGACTGATCAGGAGACCGAAGATTCTACTACTACCCCCACTACTTTATCTTTAGAGATACAGGAAAAATGGTTAAACAAAAAAGGTTCAGATTGTCCTCGAATTTAAAGATCAGGTATTTTTTGTTAGGCTAATATAGCGGAATTCACAATTCTTAGATTCAAGATTGCAGTTTCGCCCCAAAGCGGCCATGTCAGAGACTTGAAAGTATATTCCAAGTTTTTCTTTTGACTGTTCCAGTAATAACTTTCCTATACGATGGATAGTTTCCCAGGTACAGTACTTCGCATTCTTAGTTGGCCAACCTATACAGTCTGCAAAAATAGAAGGTTTGCCACTTTTGGCCCTCCAGTAAAATTTCTGTAAAGCTCACCATTTTCGTGTTATAAGCGATATAATGGGTATATTCAGTGCTTAAGAAACTTGTTTAAAAATTATAACTTTTGGCGTCGCAAAGTACCTAAGTTTAAAACCTTGCTATACAAGACCAAGGGGAGTACTTTGAGATTAGTTTATTTCAAACCTTGTCTGGTAGACGAACTTCTGATGGTGCCAGACTACGGTGTACGTGCAGGTCCTAGTGGTGTCAAGAATTTGTACTTTTTAATGCCGGTAAAACTCTTTACTTTCATTACTTGTAAGCGGTACTTTCAACCCGGTACCTCTGTCCACTGTCTATGGACGAAAATCAAGCCATGCTGTTAATGTAAAATGAGAGACAATCATGTCATGAAAATGGAAAGTACCGTATATCGATTAGCTGTACTGAAGTATGACACTACTGGTAGTACCGGTGATGCCGCGAATACCGATGGTAAAGGAAGGTAAAGGTAAAGTGTTGGGTAGCTTGTATCCAGCAACTAGAATATTAATATCACTAGTACATTTATTGGATAAACTGGACCCTAAGTTAATATTACTTTTCTGATTTTTCCATCTAATCGAAGGACGAGATTGCTGGGTGAACGGTTATTATGCCGATGAAAGATGTATCGTAATGTACTCCGTATAATTTTCATCAGTTAAAAAGCACCGATAGAGGCAGCGATGTAATATTTCGGATCCATCAGGGCGATGAATATGTATGGGAGGCAATGAATCTGGATATTGCTTCTGAGTGCTGCCTCTCACTGAGAGCTCGCGGCGGTCATTCAATATCACTTTTTAGGGGTACAGGAACATTGCAAGCAGAACAGGATTGTAGCAGTTCAAACAAAACAAAGTCCCATCGATATCATAGCAGCATCCAAAGGTCGGGACAAGTGATGCTAACCATTAGAAATTAATGGTTCTAACATATGGATACATCACATTAAAGCCGTGTGTACAGGGTGGTCAACTAAGAAAGCGAGGTACCTGCTGTATCTGGGAGCCTATTCATCATAGAGGCTTGAGGCAAAAAAGTTCGTATTAAAACGGCCAAGAGAAAAACCTGGAAAATATTTTCAAGTTTCTGAAATGGCCGGCCAATGGCGTAACTGCTATCTTGAATCTAAAAAAGTGATGTTTATGTGAATTCCACTATATTAACCTAAGAAGAAAACCTGATCTTTAAAGACGAGGATAATGTGAACTTATTTTGTTTGACCATTTTTACTGTGTTTCTAAAAATAAAGCGGTGGGCGGTAGTCGAAGTTTTCCTTGAAAAACACCCTGTATTTTTTAAATGGCTGAGCTGACTTTAACCAGCCTGGCCTAGATGGAAAGAGCTATTCTTGGGCTATAAACGTTATGATATTTGAAGTTTGGTTAGTTTCACATGTGGCCGCTACAGGGCTTTTTTCGTCATTTCTATGAAAAAGTAACTGGACAAGCTCGCGAAAACCGCATCACGATATCTTGTTCCATACCTAAAATTTAGGCAAGAGAAAATACGGAAACCACTTAAGTTTTTATTTTTCAAAACTAATTTTTCTGGAATTTCTTTTTACTATTAAGTTGTGGCCCTAAAAGGACCGATTTAAGAAAGACATGTTTTTAATGCTCGAAATGCTGGCCATCACCATCTACGAGTATCCTTTCCTCTCATGGGTAGACAAAACTGCAGCTCTCGCAATGTAATCTAATGCTAATAACAAAAGGCATATTTTTTGTTTAAATGCATATTCACTATGGGTATATACGAAAAAGACAATTAATAGAAGCAGGCATGGAATACAACAAAACAAATACCTAATCAAAACATAAATAATCCTCAAATTGGCAATGTGTGACAATAGTTTCGCGTTAGTTTGAGCAATTTTTCTGCTTACCCAATGCGTTTTACGAACGACGAAACTGATGATATGCCTGCAGTGTATTTTGAATGTCTTCAGAATGCTGCAGTAGCAAAAAGGGTTTACGGGACTCGATATCCAAATCGGCGTCTTTGCGATATGAGAGTTTTTCCCCGATTAGTGGCGAGCTTACGAGCCAATGGTAGCTTTCGTCCTACGTTTCAACGGCAAAGAATTGGAAGACCACAAGAAAATATAAAACCATACTGCTTGTCGCTAGTTAAGCGGTGACGTTCGATGTAGTCCAGAAGCTCGCGATTTATGCACCTCCTCTCCCTCTCCATCACCTTACTTATAACAGAAAGCGGAGCTATAGGCCTGTAGTTGTAAAAGTCGGTCTTAGATCATTTTTTGGGATGAATTCGACATGGGCAAATTTCCAGGTTTCTGGGAAGGTGCCGGATTCATAAAATATCTGAAAGAGACGCGAAACAAATGGAACAAGCTCCGCTGCGCACCTCTTCAGTACAATGGTAGGAATCAAGTCCGAACCAGAAGATTTGGTGATCTCGAGCGACAAGAGCACTCGCCTTACGGTTTTATCCCTTAATGTTACCTCCCGCATAGTGACTTGACGGCACTTGGGCGTCTGGGGGACGTCAGTGGTGGAGTTGGCAGCAAAGATCTTGGCAAGCACTTCCGCCTTGGCTTTTGAGTCAGATACAGTCATTCGATCCCGACACGTAAGTGGTGGAAGGTTACTGTGTGAGAAGTTCTTCTCAATCTGCTTGGCCAGCGTCCAGTGAGGTTTTCTAAGAAGATTCTGTGTACCTTGATTTTCTGCTGTCGAGCAATGTCACACGATTTGTTAAACAAGCTGTTGGACCCTGGTTTAGACACTTTCACTGTATGAGGGATGTACTCCTCCATTCTAACGTTGATAATTTCGGTTGTCGAAGAACAGACTGCCGATGCAACCGCGTCAGTGAAACAGACATCTCTCCAAGGAAAGGTAGAGAAGAAGTCTCTGGGTCCTCCCAGTTGGCATGTCCGTAATACCAAACTTTGCGGCCTGTACGAGTTTCTGCTGCCACAGCGGGTTCTGACCGAAACGTAACATCCACAACACCATGGTCTGACTTACCCAGGGGGGACAGGACAGCAGTGCTCTGAGGGTCAGGATGCGTGGTCAGAAAGAGATCCAGCAGGCGACTGGCATGTGACGAGACGCGGGGAAAAAAAGTAAGGCTCGTCATCAGCTGGGTCAGCCCTTGAGTAAGAGCGAACGCTTAAACTGCACGACCTGCTGCATCGGTCTTGTTTGAGCCCAACCGAAGCTCATTATGGGCATTGAAATCACCGACGAGAACTACCTCTGAAGTGGAGTGATTGATGTTGAGGTATTCAAGTAGTTCATCCCAGTTATGGTCCGAGAGCGAGCGATAAAGGCAGCAAATAAATTTGGGGGATGTCTTGGGTTGAGGCAAAACCACAGAATTTCCTTCCGGTCTGATTCGGAAGAAACATCTCTGGAGCAGGAAAGACTGCTGCGGACAAAAGCAACAACTCCCCCATTCTTTCTCAGATTGGTGAGCACCTCATAATTTGGGAAGCTAAGATGGTTGATGGGTGCAGACTCTGTGATTTTTGTCTCCGCCAAAAAATCAAGGCGGACGATTGAATTGCAAGTAGTGATGAACAGCATCAATGTTGATGTTAATCCCGCAGATGTTCGTGAAACAAATTTTATCTTCGACATTGTTCCTTCGAGCCCACCCTCCACCCGGTCATTCCGAAAGTGGAGTGAGTTTACTCCGGACTGATTCTCGAGGAATGCATCATCATTAATTTTTGTTTTGTTTTTGAAGATAGCCGACTGCTAAAACTCAGTAATAAAGAGAAATTCCAAAAAAATATTTTAAAAAAATAACACTTTCTTTGGCTAAAGATTAGATTATGAACAAGATATCGAAATGCAGGTTTCGTGATCTTGCTTAGATATAATTTACCTACTTTTTCATATAAAAACCAGATCAACAATTTTAGTTTTTTTGCAAACATTAACCGTTTCTGTCGGAACGTCTAAGACCATCCTCTAGCGGCCACATGTGAAACTAGCAAATCTTCAAATATTACAGCATTTGTAGCCCAGTAATACCTTTTTTCAACTATCCCAAGCATGTTAAAATCCGCTTAGCAGTTTCGAAAAAACAGGATGTTCTTTACGGAAACCTTTGAATACCCCCACCACCATATTTTTAGAAATACAGTCAAAGTTGTCGAACAAAAAAGGTTCAAATTATCCTCGAATTTAAAGATCAGGTATATTTTTGTTAGGTTAATATAGTGGAATTCACAGAAACATCACTTTTAAAGATTCAAGGTTTCAGTTACGTCCCCTAGCGACTTGAAAATATATTCCAGGTTTTTCTCTTGGCCGTTTTAGTAACAACTGTTTTTGCCGCAAGCCAGTACCATGGATGGGTTCCCAGATACAGTAACTCGCATTCTTAGTTGACCAGCCTGTATAGTGGAGAATATACATACACTTAAGTTCTACGCTATACTTCTTTATCAGCTTCTTCAGAAAATGTGAAGTACTTATTTACTGCCCACTTGCCTCTGGACTTTGCCAATTGCTCAAATTAACCCGACTTGTCTTGCTTTGGAGGCTTGGCTTACACCACAAGGAAGAGTTCTTGAAACTACTAGAATAATGAGGTTTGGCCCGTCCATAACGGGAAAGGTACTTCTCGTATTTGGATGAAATTTTCCCAAGGGTTTCTATTATGCCAAGGATAAGACGCTTTGTAGCTTTTGGTCCAGCGGCGGCGGACAAAAAGACCAAATGAAAAAAAGAAACCCTCAAACTTCTGGTGTATCGTGATTTTTGGATGTCAGTATATATTATATTTTTAGATCCGCAGAGATATTATGTAAAGAACCTAAAAAACGTCAAAAATAAACCGACAAAATGTCATTATGCAGACTACGTTGTGTTTAGTGTGAGAATAGTTCATTCCACGTTTGCTCGCTATGATCGCTGTGACCGCCATCAAAAGCATCCATCTATGGCGGAATGACTCAACGACATGACATGCATTGTTGGTTGCAGAAAGCCGAGTTGTCTGCAGTGTTTATATCTGAGAAAGAAAGAATGTTGGTTGAGTAGCAAGATCTCAGCTGGATGATTAGGTGTATTAGTCTGCATATGTATAAAATCAGTGATATTTGCTATGTGAGAAAATTATTACTGCATATGTTGCCAATGAAGTATATCCATTAGCTGTGCCGACGAGTTATTTATACAGGGTGGCCCAACGACAAGGACACACCTCCATTTGTGACTCTCATGGTATATTTCGGGAAAAACGCTCGGACACGTCAATTTTGATTTCTAGGGGGAGAAGTTGTACCGAGTAAAGATAACATGGCCACACAAGACAACTGTTGCACAACACTTAAAATGTAATTGAAAATTGTAAAATTGACGCCTGGACGTTTTGGCAGCTGACCTTGATATTCGTGCTACCTGGATTGCGGCGTTGCCAGCTCATCCCACGTTTTTGCCACCATTGCTATTTTGTTAGAATGATATTAAAAAAGATGATTTTAATAAAATATTGAGGAATATCAACGGAGAAACATAAGACTTAAGGCGTAATAATGTTTGCCAAATAGCTAAAGGTGACTCCAATAAATATTCCTATTGTACGTGCAAAAACAAACAAAAGACTGGTGGTGCTTATGATTCGTGAAAATTTGTATATTTACGAATTGTTATCAAATTTTTATTCATTTATATCTCGCGTCCCCAACTTGCACATAAACATCAAGTGTAGCATGACATTTTGATATTTAATTTACAGTAAATACTATGCATAATAATAAAAGGAACAAAGGACTTACTTTTTTCAGTATGAATATGGTGAAACAACTAAAAAATATGTTTTTATTATAGGTTCCTAAAAACATATAATTTTTTAATATCTAACAATAATTGCCAGACATACCTTTTTTAATTTACAATCCATCAAGTTATAGGTAACAGTATGATTTATTGTTATTACAAAATAATATTATACCTGTTACGATAATACCTACTATCAAGTTGGTATACATAGACATTATATAATATTAAGTCACATAAAAATATATATTTAAGCTCGTACCTAACGTAAATATTGTCATATAACATCATATTAGTGTGAGTTTCATTACAATGTGATATTACAATAGTACCTCCTGCTAACAAGTGTGCATATCCGATTTTAAGTCGATGCTTTCTTTTGGGCTGTTTTAAGCACAGTCCTCCTTAATATGTGATTTATATTTCAGGTCACCATATCTTTGTTTAATTTAACATGAGCATAAGTTTCTTTTTTTTCCAGCACTAGCACTTAGCTGTTGATCTGAACTGAAACCCTATATTGTGAACAAGGTGTACAACACTGGTCTTTGAATTCAATAAGTTCGACCGATAGACCGATTGACCCCAGTTAGTAAAAGCCAACAAATATTTACGCATACATTATCTTCTACAACTTTTCAAATTTTTGGCAAACATTACTATGCCTTAAATCTTATGTTTTTCCTTTGGTATTCCTCAATATTTTATTCAAAGCTTCTTTCATAACATTCTAACAAAACACCAAAGGTAGCAAAAACGTCCGATGAGCTAGCAACACCGCAATCCAGGTGACAAGAATAACAAGGTCAGCTGGCAAAACTTGTGTCTACCCTGGGGTAGAGTAGAGTATATTTCAACAGTTGTCTTGCATGGCCATGTTATCTTTACGTGTGATAAAGATTCCTGTCTTCAGGATATTTTCTTACCTGTTACTTGTAATTTACTTCACCGACCAGCGGTTTTCTTATCCCTCTCAGTTTTTAAATTCAGCAAATTTGCATAAGTAATTTCCAGAATGGATAAAAAAGTGGATGCTAAACTAATCTCTAGCTTTGAATACATCTCAAGTAAGTGTATTTCAGACAAGAGGCCAATGGAACATGAACACCGATTATTTATTAGCACACATATCCTCACTATGCAACCTGTTTACTACCGTTTCCTTCCAGCTATGTTATACAACTTACAGCTTGGACCTCCAATACTGTCGTCTCTGGAGCGTTACATCAACTCAGAGCCAAACGTTGTCAGCTTAGGCAACAAGTACAGCCACAAAACGAGTTCACAAAAGTGTACAACAGCTAGTGCTAAGTTGACATCTTGTAGGAAAACCTAGTTTATGTCCCAAAAAACGACACAATGTCACTTTTCAAGATACGTAATTCTATGCAACTATCAGACATATATATATGACACATCATAGATTTTTCCGTACATTTGCACTTAAAACGGAAAAATATTTTCAGCCGACGGATCGTGGTCGCACGTGCCGTGAGCCACGGTAGAGGTGTTTCAAAACGGCGTGAGCCATGACCGTTAGACGAAATGCGCGGATTCAAATCTATGGAGAAGCGGGAGAAGCAGACGCGTCACAATACAAGCATTGCTAAAAATATAACTGATACTAGGTCTGCTATAGATCAGTAAATCATTTCGGTATTTTTTGTCACACTTCTATTTATTAAATAATTTGGTGTGGTGATACAAAAAAATTAATTACAGAACGCGTATTCTTTAAGGGAACATTGAGAATGATATTCATTTAATTTGATTCCCTTACGAAACGTTGTTTCCCTACTATTTAAGTTTTCCATGACGTGCCTAGAGCTAATATAACTGGCTTATAATCGTTCTTCATTATGTGTGTTTCGCCGTCGTCGCGTCAGTGGCGTGGTACGGAATCAGTAGCGTAGGTAGCCGGTACCTGACAAATCAATTATGCAAGAAGTAAGACTGGGTTATTCAGTATGGGAAAGTGGTAAACACCACTTTTCAAACCTGATTTGAAGAGAAGATCTGCATTCGGTACAAAGCCCTTTTTCCCCACCAGTAGTGCTTGCAGACAGGTATTTGTCCCATCGTCCCAGGACTTGGGCACTGTATGAGTGCTGTGAATGTAAGTCTCATCGGTGTATACAATGTTCCTACCTGCGAAAAAAACAAAAATCTGCGGTAAGTGTGCGATCTTTCATTTGAAATCATTTTTCAATACATTTTTGTTAAAGCATACCTATATATACGGTATACACTAATTTTTGCTGTCGTTCATGTACCTTAACGCCCAAATTTTATATTTCTTTGGTCACACGACCGATAAAAAAAATTCAAATACATATAAAGTAACTCATCTATTAAGGTTTATGACAATTTTTTGATAGATATCAATATTGCTGAATGAACTGAAGACATATCATAACATACAAAATTTCCTTGTATTTCTTCAGTTTCCTTAAAAACCCAATTCGCTTTAAATAAATGTCTTGTTTTTGAATCAATAGTTTCCAATAATCTTTTTTTCAGAAAAAACCTAATTTATGAATTTTTTTTCTGAATTATCCGATTTTCCCTGCCAGGGGGATCTTTTTTTGCAGCTTCATAAACGTTTTTAATGGTAAAATTCATAAATTATTTCCCTTATCTCTGCCTCAAACCTGTCCACTGTTGATTTCAGACTTGGTTTACTAAACAGTTTTTCTTGGGGAGACAAATTTATTGCCTGTGGCTTTGATCGAACCTTCTTTCACAATGCGTTTGAATGTATTGAGTGATACACCTGTGGCTTATGCTACTCGATTCGTCAGCTGATTTAGAGGTAAAATGACTTCCCCTGCCTCCTTTTCACGGCTCATGAATTGAAAAACATACAATCCAGCGGCCCTGGCTATGAAGAATCTTGTGCTGGTTCGTATCCCCTGTAAGAAAAAATATTATCATAGATCTGTGTAAAATTATCATATTGAAGTTCACGTTTTTCTGAAAACGTTCGCAAATAAACTGTGAATAGAAGCGTGTGATAATACGTTCCAATCGATCTAGGAGCATCATTTGATCACCATAACTAAACCCATAAACGTTACATCTCAGATTATCAAAGCTTTATACATGAATGAGAATAATACCAACTTCAATACTAACGCTGTTTCATTCAATCTCCGAAACTCTTACACTCCCATATTGAATATGAAAAACAATCTTCACAGCCCTGGACTAACATAAAGGAAATCCAACATACAAAATCGTCATCTACACGCGCACGTCAATGGGTACCGATAGTTCTCCCTTGGCTGTTCAAAGCTGAGTACCATCGTATCGATTCGCTTCCATTTGCTTCGCATCGTTCCGCATCTGATGTTTCCGCATCATGACATATCGTATCAATTCGGCCAGCATTCCATGGTATCCCATTGTAATGATTCGTATCGCCTTGTAATGTATCCTATCGCATCGAATCACATCGCATCGCATAGTATTGAATCGTATCGCATAATATCGTATTGCAGCTATCCAGTATCCAATCGATCTTATTTAATCTTATCCTATCGCATCGTATTGAATCGTACCGCTTCGAATCGCATAGTATCGCAACGTATCGCATTGCATTGTATCGCATCGTACCGTATCGCATCCCTTCTCATTGTATCTTATCGCATCGTATCGTATCGCATCGTGTCACATCATATGGCATCGTATCGCAACGTAACGCATGGTATCGAGGTGGGCGCGATATTATAATATAGACAGATGATGCTTGAGGTGTAATTTAATGGGTTGCTTGATTTCGAGGGGTATCAAACATTGTTGGCAAATAGTGTTATACACAGCTTTAAAGAAATGGGGCTACCGTCTACAATCTGAGGGATTTTTTTCATGAAAAGCACAAATAGTGCACTATTGTCTTTTTGATGCCATTGCACATGGGGCATCAAAAAAAATCATTCCTTGATAAATATTCAAGGTTCCTTGTACTCTGGTAATTTCTACGTTCTTTTTGGTTACGACTCCGTGTGGACGGCCTGAACTGGGATCACCTAAATCAAATAAGCTACCAAATGCTTTTTTTTTTTAATTTCGTCACATTTTTTAGCTGATAAACCACGGCGAAAATTATGGAATGAAATGGCACGGTAAGCAACAGTCGGGAGCAACTCCATAGCGACACTTTGAAAAACGATTAATTTAAATATTTGTTTATCCTTTGTATTCGGTCAATTTAAGCGAATATCTCACGTCCCTGATCGAAAGAAAACTAGACAAGGGAGACAGGCTGAATATAAACGGGTGCACGATTAATTTCGCAGTAATGCCGGGATTTGAAATCGCCCAATCACTGATGCATCATTGTGCTCGTATTCCGAGGTAATCCGAATCCCGCATTAGGCCGGCAGTTGACAAAAAAGCAAAACCGGGTGTTTGTCAAATTGAAAACATGCACAGATAAGCACCTTTAACAGGAAAACAAAATGTAAACTGTCCGAAACGCGTTTCCGTTTTTCATTGCAAAAGCTGTCTGTATCTCTCCACGTTTCAAATGTGATTGCCGAAAGACAACATCAGACCAGTCATTTTCATTTTTATATCACTTTTAAATAATCGAATACTTCGTACACTAGGAACTCTTAAAAGTGTTTTGAGACATCAACACCCCACCGCCATGCTGCCGGGATTTCCTGAAAGGCATAAACCATTATCACAGTTGCCATTGGCGGACTATAAATTCTTATTGTGAGTGACCTTTATTCTTCTTATACATCATATAAACAGAACATAATAGAAGTGTATCACTAAATCCGACACCAGAGTATTACTTTAACAAATAACAACAAGCGATATCGCGCACTGACCAAACAACATGCTACACTATTATATTTAACACAACTGATTGATTACCGTACTGGTGAAGAAAAGGTTTATAAATTTCTGATGTACATAAATTCGAAAGGTTAAAGTTAATAAAAATGTGAGATCGACAGATACATGATTTTCGACGATACCGGTAATCGGCCGATATACAGGGTGTTAATTAAGTATGTACCATAAATTTAGCAGACGATTCTTTGAGTAATTTTAAGACAACTTCATATTAACATAGGTCCGCAAACTCTTCGCTCTCAAGATACCGGGTGTTAAAACTTGAAAAAAACTGCTTTTTCGTAAATTTCTTAAATATCCGTTACCTAATTTTGTTGTAATTAGGCGGTGGTGTTTATAACATTAGGGAGCAAATTTAGGACTAACTTGATAAATTTTTTTAAGCCCAGTGGCGTCTTGAGTGGGATCTGAACGAATATCTGTGACAAAAAATATACTCTACTGACTACTCGACTGCATTTTTTATTATTTTCTTTGGATTAAGCAAATAGAAGCAATAGAAGTACAACATTTCACTTTTGATTTTTTTTAACATCTTGCTTAGTTTTCGAGAAAAAAGTTCACTCAGTTGCATATCCCACACAAGGAACACGGGAAAAACTTTCTTTTGGATATTATTATTTTTTCATATTTTTTTTATTACTAATGATGTATTATAATATACTGTATGATTGATATGGGGCATAAAGCTGCGAAGACTACGAAAAATTAACTCTTAGATTTATTTTTGGTTCCAGCTCTTTGTCGGCAAGTATAGAAATATTTGAATTATTTTGAAAAATCGTGGAAAATGACGTTTTCGCTAAATTTTCTCATTTCGGTAAGTCCATGTATAGACAATCTGAAACTTGCAATATGGATTTATATTCTGAAGTTTATGCATATCCATTCATATTCGTCAATATTTCATTTAAAGCATCTATTTTTCATAAGATTCTAGCAAAATGTAAAATAGTAAAGGCAACACCGCACACCGCAGCCCAGTTGACAAGATCTGTCAAGATATATTACCCAGCCACCGACGGAACCATTTGGGGCGTCATGGAATTAATTTTAAAATTTTCATTTGCATTTTTTCAAGTGTTGTGCAACGATTTTGAGAAAAATTCTATCACCGTCTATAGTCTTATAAACCACAGTAGAGTATATTTCTACAGTTGGTCGAGTTTGCTTCACTGGGACCAAGCGTTGGCGCATCCCACAGAATTATGCGTCACTTGGCTTGAAATATCAGGAGATAATCAGGTGTTATTCTACCGTTTATTCTTTGGATTCAAATAATATCTAATATAACCTAAAATGTGTATTCCGCACAGTGGCGGCCGGTGGCTGTGAGAAATGGGGGGCTATTGTAGGGAAGGGTGGCCTGCCGCAGTCACCGCCGGAGGCAAAGAATTTTTACGGTGCCACGCCCAAAAACTTCCATTTTGAGCCTTCAAATTCAAATATACATTTTTAGAGCTATAATTTTTTTTGCATTTTTTATGTCCTGATTTTGTGGATGGATCAGTTGGCAATCCTATACCTATATATTTTATGTACAGTCCTCTGTATAGGAACAAACATATTTTAGGTACGAGAACTTATCGCAAAAGAAAGCAGCATCTAATATGAAAGCAACAGAGCATCTATTATCAAAAGAACAACAGTACTCAAAAGTATAGTTTTTCACTTTCTTACAACACATGTAACTATAAATAACTTGGAAAAGAGAACAGAAATACGGTATACCTAAATGTATTATTGTATTATAAACGACTAAGTATACCTACCTACAGCTAGAGCAAACATTGTGTTTCAACTGTCACACTTCACACTTCTATTTATTACAAAATATTTTTTAATGTTTATATGTAAAGTCTAATCTTCTGTCTTTCTGTGAAATAAAATGTTCCATCACTTTTTCGTCGAAATTGCTGATATTATGTACCAGATTCTTATTAACAGACATCATTGCCAATGCATTCAGTCGTTCATTGCCCATCGAGTTTCTTAAAAACGATTTTATCCTCTTAAGGGTTGAGAAACAGCGCTCTGCTTCGGAAGTTGACATGGGAGTAGTTATAATTATTTGCAACAACTTAGTTACTTCGCTAAAAGTTTCCTCTAGGTTGTTATTAGTCAATAGGGACAGCAAATTCAAACCTCCTGTAATATTTTTGAAGTCTTCCCTCATGTACATTACTTCTAATTCGGTTTTCAGTTTTTCTTTATTTACCATTGGATAATAAGTCACAACTGAATTCAGTATTTTTGCTGGAAAATATCTCGAATAGTTTGTGAAGTTTTGTGTATCTAATAAAGATGCAGCTTCTAGATGACCCCTGTAAGAAAGTCTCTCTTTTGTCTGTACAATTATTATATCGCAAACTTCTTTTGCAATAATACAATTTCTTTCTTCGGGTCCTACTTTTCTGCGTTTATGTCCATGCTCATTTTCAACAGTTTGCTGTATATCCTCTGTAGTGTCCCTAATCAATACAATGGCCTTCTCAAATACGTCAATATCTTTTAAAAGTTGTACACTGTCTTTATTCCTACTTTGAAACTGGTTAAACAAAATAGCTACGTGCGGTAGGGTTTTGTGAAAAAAAGTCAAAAAAAAGATGAAATCAGAATCTTCGAGTGCTCTTCTTAAACCGTATGCCTCCTTACTAGTAATTGTTTTATCACATTTATTCTCTAACTCCCGGAAACAATCAATAAGACTTTCACGGTTCTCAAAAACGGCACTGACTGTGCGAATGTTATAATTCCACCGTGTTGGCGCAACCTTTGGCATTTTGGTTTTAACTATGTTTTCCAATAAATCGCATCTGTGCGTGGAGTTGGAGAAGAAACTTGGAATTGCCGACAGGTTTGAAAAAAACACTTTTACTTTTGGATTTTGGCTGGCTGCTCTCTGCATAATTAAGTTCAGTTGGTGAGCGTAACAGTGTATAAAATGAGCGTTCTGATATTTTTGTTTGATTTTTGTTTGAACTCCACCACTGCTACCGCTCATTACGTTTGCACCATCATAAGTTTGCGCAATTAATTTGTGGTGTGAATCTTTTAATAATGGGCCTAGTTCTTCTTCCGATACACTTTGCCAAACCTTCAGCTGTCTTGTCCGTAACGCTCAAAAAACGCCAAAATCTTTCTTGTATTTCACCTTCATGGAGATATCTAAATATCATTACCATTTGACAATGATGTGAAATATCTGTTGTTTCGTCGCACTGTATAGCTAAAAACTCTGCTGCATTAATTTGCTGTCGAATTTCTTGTTGGCAGACTTCCAACTTACTATCTAGTATTTCATTTTGTACTGTTTTAGAAGTACCCTTAAACAGTGTCGCACTTTTTAAATGTTCCTTTAATATTGTATCCAGTTCGGACGTAAAATTAATCAACTCTCGAAAAATGCCACGATTTTCAGAGTCTTCACTTTCGTCGTGCCCTCTTAACGCTAATTCCAATTTACCGCAAAACTTTATACAGTTTATTATTCTTTTTAAAAGATATCTATTTTTGTCCACTTGCTCGTTGTGCTT